TGTCGCCCGCTGGAGGCAAACCTTTGTTTCGGTGTTGGTGCTCATTTCCAAGCCTCCAGCTACGGGGAACAAGGGCGGGGGGGCTGTGGGCGTGGCCCTCCGAGCGACGGCCAGTCTGGGCACCCCAGGGCAAGCGAGGGCCTGCGTGGCTTTCTGGGTGAGGCCTTGGGCATCAGTGGAGGCCCAGTTTGGGTTGCGTCTGGCCAAAGCTGGATCATCACTGGGCTACAGGTGTTACAGGTGCCGACAGTGGCTCAGGGAAGTTGGAGAACTGCGCTATGGGGGCGGGCTGTCCACGAGGAGGCGTCCAAGATCTCCCCCCTCCTTGTCGTCCCCCCCCTTTGGTCGCCCCCGGCCTGCTTCGACCGACACCCCGTGGCCGGGAGACCTCCCTGGACCGGCGCGACGGCTGCTATGGGACAGGCGGGGGTGAACAGCCGATGCCCAGTTGAGTTATATCTGGCCTTACCTGGATGCCCAGTTATACGGATGCCCTGTTGGCCTGCTCAGCGAGGTAAACGCAGCTAGGCGGGGCTGTCTGCGCGGCGGCGGTTTCCGACAACCGCGCTGCCTCAGGGCGTTCCTGGCAGAGCATGCAAGGAGCAGTCGGTGCAATCACTGTCCGTGGAATTCTGCGAGAGGTCCGCCACAAAAGCAGCGCACCTTGCGCAGGTGTTCCTGAGCCACCATGAGGTACATGCTTGCTAGTACGCCCGCATGCTGGCCGATCGCTCACCGCTGGTGCAGCTCTTCTGCCTTGCCGCCAGCGACAAAAGCTCACAGGTGCGCGTGACGGGGTGATGAAAACGAGGTGGCTTAGCAGGTCGGCGTGCGACCACAGCTCCGATCAGCGGGAGCATCGGGCGTGTGACCCGGCGATGGTCGGCCACGGCATGTCGAGCACGGAGAGTGAAAAGTGGGACGGAGGAGGAGAAGGAGGAGGAGGAGGGGGAAGAAAAGGAGTAGGAGAAGGAGGAGGAGGAGGAGGAGGAGGAGGAGGAGAAGGAGGAGGAGGAGGAGGAGGAGGAGGAGAAGGAGAATGGGAGGAGGAGGAGGAGGAGGAGGAGGAGGAGGAGGAGGAGGAGGAGGAGGAGGAGGAGGAGGAGGAGGAGGAGGAGGAGGAGGAGGAGGAGGAGGAGGAGGAGGAGGAGGAGCAGGGAGGAGGGAGGAGGGAGGAGGAGGAGGTGGAGGAGGAGGAGGGGGAGCAGCAGGAGGAGCAGGATGAGCAGGAGGAGGAGGGCATGAACGTTCCCAAATCGTCAGGGAGGTGAATGGCGACGGCCTCTCGGGCGCTTGAATCAACCGTGCGTTCCCCAAAAGGGGGGCCACGGAGAGGGAGTTGTAAGTCGGGTATGTCCCCCTACAGGCGGATTCTGTAGGAAAAACGTAAGATAGCCAAACAACATGCAGTAATGGCCAACATAATAGAAACATCGTCCAGACGATAGTCTGTTTGGCTAGTGTTGAGCATCCCTCCTGTGGAGAGACATGCCCGACTTGAAAGGGAGCTCCTCCTCGCCAGCCTTTTTTTTGGCTCAGGTACGCCCCCGCCGTGCAGTCGTGCTCCGGGGCGGCCGCAATGGGGAATTCGAATGCCCTCCTGACCCATTGCATGCACGACTCCCGCCACGACGACGACTTCGACAACAAGTACGAGGTGGACGAGGATAATTATCGAAAGACGCCTGCGGCGAATCACCGCCGCCCCCCCGCCATTGAGGATATGCCTGTGTGGCCAGACGTTTGGGTAGAGTTTGGCCGCTCCATTGTACCATGCGCTCCTGCAGCGGAAGACGTTGTGGAAGCTCTCCGGGAGACACGTGGGAGAGAGGAGAGGGGGGAACAAGGAGGACGAGGAGACCTCTTGGGAGCTTCTTGGGTCATTTCTGCATTCCTGGGGCCTCGGGAGCTTCCTGCCTCTTGGGGGTCTTTGGGGGGCTTTGGGTGGGCCTTCTTGGCCGTCTTGCGGCGTTCGTGGCCCGTCTGTTGCCGTTGGAAACCGTCTTGGGAGCCAATCTGGGCCGTCTTGGGACCCTCTTACGGCGCTCCAGGGCCGTCTTGGAGTTCAGTCGGGCATGCCCTTTTACAGGAGGAGTATTTAAACATAGTAAAAAGAATAGTGGGGGGACGATGTGTGGATTCTGGTTTTTTTCTTCTCATTTTTGGGTGTTGCTTGAATATCTTCTATTTGTCCTTACACATTCGCCTGCAGGGAGACATGCCCGACCTAGTCTTGGAGGCCATCTTGGGTTGTGGCTCAGAGTCCTTAGGGCTGCTTCTTGGGATCTCGTCGGAGCGCTCGGGGCAGTTTGGGGGCCTCTTGGGGCGGGCCTCTTGGGGCGCCTCGTGAGGCCTCGTGCCTGCCTCTCGAGGGCCCCTTGGGGTATCCTGGGGGCCTCTCGGGGCCGAGGGCTCGAAATGTCCGTTCGGGCCCCCCGTCGGTGCCTCCTCTTGAAGCCGTATTGTGGGCCCCAGACGTCGGGGGTCCTTTGTTTGCCGCTTTTGGGACCTGCTGGGCCATTTTGGGGTTAGCCAGCGGAGATCCCAAACAGTGCTTGTTTCTGGCAATGTTGTGTTGCCCAATTGAGATCTGCTATGTACGATGTGCAATCTATTTCGTGCAGTAGATGTGGTGTAATCTATTTTGGTGCAATTTCGGTGAGGCAAGTTATGTGACCATGCCACGTGTGTGGTGCAATATCTGTGATGCTATCTACGTGGCGTAGCATAGGTGGTGCCATGTAGGTTGTGCAACCTATGCTGTGCGTCGTATGTGTTGCAGTCTGTGTTTGTGCAATCCTTATTGCGCCATATACGCAGATTGCTATATGTGGTGCGACCTATGCTGTACAACGGGCCTTAGGACATCTATGTTTCGCAATCTATGTTGTGCAGCACACGTGGTTGCAACGTTTGTATATTAATGTATGCATACATATATACGCTGCGCAATCTAGGTGGCGTTAACTATGCAGTGCAACATTCGTGGTGGCATCCCTGCTGACAGCGATCAAAGAGTGCGCCGTGGAGCAATCCGTGTGGTGCAACCACCCATGCTCGCAGTGAGTTGTCAGCTCTACCGCCGTCCGCAAGTTGTTTCGTTCAACCCATGCGACGGCGTTTGCGATGAGTGCCTGGCGTTGGTTGGTGCATCTCTGCTGCCGCGGTAGCCCGCGCATGCTCGTGCGCGCAGCGGCCATCTAATGCGGCGCGACCGATTCGGCCGCTGTTGCGCGGACCGTAGGGCACTTCCCAGCTGGCACTTCAGTGCGAGTCGGTGACTTGGGCGGGCTCGGTATCATGGCGACGCCGGCAATGGTGGACGCGATGTTGTGAGTAACGATGATGGAGACGATGGTGGCGATGACGACGGCAAGGCCACTGACGGCGCCGATGTTGATGACGCCCGCCGAAAACGATGACGATATCCTCGCGTAGGCGATGGGGGTTTCGGAAAGAGTTCGGAATGCGCGCGCGGCCGACGCGCGCGAGTGACCCGCGTGGTGTTTTGTTGACACGGATCGTGCCCCCCCCCCCCCCCTCCCCCTCAGCGCTCGCGCAAGGGTTTTCGGTTGAGTGCGGCATGCGGCGCGAGGGGCCCGTTTGGCAGAATTGGATGCCACTGCTTAAAAGCCGATGCTGCACGACAGAATTAGCAAGAGCGCGCACAAGTTCCTTTTGAGCACTGATGTTGCAAAACCAGGTGTTTCATTCATTTTCGGGGCGCTCGTTGCCGAAATGAACCCATCGGGCGGGAGACGATGTGCGCGCGACGATGCGCGCGAGTGTGTTCTCGCGACAACACGCGCGCTTGGGCGTTCGATCGATTCCGACATACGCGCGCGAGAGAGGCCCGCGTGGTAGCATGACATTAACATGTTGGAAACATTTGTCCCCCCCGGGATCTTGCAACAACGCGAACGTTTTTTGGGACGTCCGCGTTGCGGGAACACGCGTGTTTCTAATGTTATCGTGACGCGCGGTTTCGATACCCCTACGCGCATGTGCACGCCATGATTTGGCGCAAAAGGATTTCTGGAAACTTCTCGTGTTTGATAAACGAGTGCGCGCGACTAGTGCGTTCTGCAAAGGGTGAGGGGGAGGGGGGTTACCGGTTTAGCTTGGATGATCTGCGTTCATATCGGGATGGACGATTGGGCAAAACACATGTAAATTGAACATTCCCGGGAGGGGCCCTTAAGCCTGGGGGGAACGTACACCTCAATATTTTCAAAATTCAGAGAATCCAGCGGCGGCAGGCGGCGACGAGGCGTCGACGTGGCGGCTACGGCGGCCACATTGCCGCCAGACCGAAAACATAACCCATACGACAGGCGGCGACGAGGCGGCGACGGGGCGGCCACGGCGGCCATGTAGCCGCCGCACGGAAGACACGGCACAGTTCCGAATCAGAAGCACGTTAGTACTAACCCCCATGTGCAAACACTGTTTGGAGAATGGTTTTGGCTTTCTCGGGGCCTCCGGGGAGTGCTCTCGGAGGCCTCTTGGGGTGTCTTGGAGGGCCATCTGCAGGGCAGCGTGGCCAGTCCAGATGCCTTCTGGGGCTGTCTACGGGCACTTTCTGGACCCCCTGGAACGCTGCTGACGAATTCAGTGGTTGATCCCGGGTCATTTTCGACAGGGTCACCGGTCCGGAGGCCAACGCGACACACCCCAGTAGCGCCCCGAAGCGCCCAGTGGCGAAACCACGGGTCCGGGCCTTGAAGAACCTCACAACTTCATTTTTCAGGGCTGCGTAAGACAAAGCTAGGATCGGGATAAATCGCTCCAGAGCGTTCCGGAGCGCTCTCAGAGCGTTCCGGAACGCTCTGGAACGGCCGCGGCGCCCAATACATCCTCCAAACCCGCCGATTCTCAGAGATTTCGAGTTATCCCGATCCGATGTTGTCCCGATCTTCGCGTCGTTTCACTGCGTAAGCCTTGGGGTACTCACTCCACTTCGTGCCAGTGTCACGGTGGCGGATATAGGCACGGGCAAGTTCGCGGTGGTCCACTTGTGTTGGAAGAGGTACACGCCTGAGAAGCGGTTTGCGCTGAAGGTGATCAACACCCGTGTTGGTGACACGGCCAGCTTGAATCGAATTCGCGAGGAGATTAATATCTTGCAGACATTGGGCAATCATCCTGGAATGGTGTCTCTCATCGACGTCGACGAGACCCTTGTCGGCAACATCCGTTTAGTGCTGGAGCTCTGCGAAGGCGGTGAGCTCTACGATCGCATTCAGCAGAAGCAGTATCCGGCTGCCTCCGACAAGCCCCGCCAGCGTGCCAGGGCAGGATCGGCATGTGTATCCGGCCCTGCCGTGAAAAGGCTCGGTGGAACCATCTGAAGGTTTTCTTGGGATGAGCGCTGCGACGTTGTAACGAAGCGTGACGGTACCGCTGTATCGTTGTTGCGTTGTTCGTAAGGGCCCTGGGCCTTCTCGGGGACTACTTCCGTGGGGGGACTCTCACGAGATTGACAGGGGTCTTGGTGCCGTCTTGGGCGCAATGACTGATTTGAGATCTCCAGAAATGGCCAGGCATGATCATCTTACGGCGGCCGTCCGGACTTGCATTGGATCCTTACGATGACGCAGATTTGGCGGGCGGCTCCTAGAAGCGTGCCCTGTGAAACACTGTATTGAGTCGCATGTGGCATTGCGCAGAGCTGCCAAGCATGTCTGGTGATCGTTTGGCAAACCCCGCCCCGACCGGCTATCCCTGGTATCGCTCTAGCTCAGTGGTTTGCTTTACCCCTACGGGCTACGAAGCGATAGACGGTGCTTGTACCGAAGCTGGTGCGTCGTTGGGCAGTTGCGCCTGTGCCCAATGAGGTCTTTGTTGGAGCCGTACTTTTTGACCCCCTGGGGGGCACGAAGAGTGCGAGTAAGGTGTGTGTGTGTGTGTGAGTCTGTGTGTTTGTGTGTTTTGGGCAAGTGGTGGCGCGGGGGGGGGGGGCACGCGCGCACCCCCGCTGCGGCCGTAGCCTGGGAGGGATCCCTGTGCTTCACCATGCGCGTGATGGGGTCTGCTCGGGTGCCGGCGCAGCAGGCACCCTCGAGAAAGGGAGCAGGCCCGCCGGCAGGTGCCCCTGCGGACGCCTCTCGTCCCCACAGCGGCCCCAGGGACCCACGCAGAGGGCCTGAAGCACGCGCGTGCCTGCTGCATTCCCAACGGGACGTGGCGGCCCCTGGCACCGCGAGCCGTGCACGGAGGAGGCCCCTCTCCCAAGGCGGGCCGCACCTTGGCGCGCGCCGAAGAGCCCCCGCCTGGGGCCATACCCTGAGGCGCGAGGCGTGTGAAGGAGGGCGGCGAAGTGGTGCAGTAGCGGCAGCAGCAACATCAGCAACGTGTACTTTTGCTACTACTTGTATCATTACGACGTCGGCTACTACTATTTCTACTACTACGATTTTTCATGCGATTGCTACCACTACTACTACTACTATCGCTGTTACTACTACTACTACTACTACTACTACTACTACTACTACTACTACTACTGCTACTACTACTACTACTACTGCTACTACTACTACTGCTACTACTACTACTACTACTACTGCTACTGCTACTGCTACTACGACTACTACTACTACTACTACTACTACTACTACTACTACTACTACTACTACTACTACTACTACTACTACTACTACTACTACTACTACTACTACTACTACTACTACTACTACTACTACTACTACTACTACTACTACTACTACTACTACTACTGCTACTGCTACTACTACTACTACTGCTACTACTACTACTCCTACTTCTACTCCTACTCCTACTCCTACTACTACTACTACTACTACTACTACTACTACTACTACTATTTCTATTTCCCCTATCACTTTCTACCACTCGTATCCCCATTCCTTTCTACTACTCCTATCACCATTACCCTCATATCACCAATCCTCCTACATTTTTCTACGACCTGCTACGATCATGTCTTTTCCAACTACTAATTATATTATTTTTGCGGCTGCTACTACTACTACTGCTACTACGACTATTGCTACGATTGCGATTAGTACGTCTACGACGGCTACCACGACTACGATGTAGATATTGATTGCGGCTAGTAGTATTAGTAATACCAGTACTAGTACTACTAGTCTTACTACTACTACTTCTACGTCCACTATTACTATTACCACTACTACTACTACTACTACTACTACTACTACTACTACTACCACCACTACTACTACTACTACTACTACTACTACTACTACTACTACTACTACTACTACTACTACCACTACCACTGCTACTACTACTACTACTACTACTACCACCACCACCACCACTGCTAGTACTAGTACTAGTACTAGTACTAGTACTACTACGACTACTACTACTTCTACTTCTACTTCTACTGCTACTAGTTCTGATTTAAACAAATATTTCTAGCGTGGGGCACGCCAGAGGATTCCGAGGCCCATGTGGGATTCACATCACGCCACTATTTCTGTACATACGATTTGCCCGAAGAATGCGTGTGTTATCCCCTCCGACTTCCGAACTTCATTACCGCCACCCTGTGTTTGTCAGATGCATTCAGTTTATATGTCCGTTGGGAGTGGGGTAGTAGATCGTAGTTCCGTCTTAGAAAGGAGAGTCTATGTTGTGCGACCTACTTGCTGCAATCAATCTGGTGCGATCGATGTATGCTGGCGGTGGCGTGTTAACTACACTGCTCGCGCAAGCACCCTCGCAACTTGGGTTGCAAAGCCCTCGCGGCAACGATTGCCATGACTTTTTTGCGCTGGGCTGGTTGGCGCATCGCTGCGGCCGCGCTAGCTCGCACAGGCTCGCGCGCAGAGCGGCCAGCCAATCTGACGCGACTTACGCGTAGACTTCGGCGCTGACCGCTTCGCCCTCCCAGCGCGTCTCGCAGGCCGCGCTGGCGCGCGGGCGCATTATGCGAGTCGGTGACTCGGGCGGGTGCGGTACAATTGTGACTTCGGCAGCGGCAGCCGCGATGATGCTTGTAGCGATGCTGGTGACGACGGTGACGACCACGCCGGCCAGGCCAATCACGTCGCCGATGTTGATCACTTTGATGACGATCATGGTGTCCACGTGTCCGTGATGAAGTCTTCGGCCAGATTTGGACAGCGCGGGCGGCCGACTGGCACGAGTGGCCCGCGTGGCATTCTTTGACCGGGATCGTCCCCCCTTGCCTCCCCGCCGCACGCTCGCAAGGGCGTCCGAATGAACACTGCACGCGAGTGCGAGAGGCCCGTCTGGTGGCATTCGACGAACACGTTCCAAGCTAAATGGTCACACTAGAAGTTTGCAGAAGCGAGCAGTTTCTTGAATATTCGGGCTGCGATACCACTGGTTTAGTGTATGTTTTTGGGACATGCGATTTTCAAACACTTGGGTCGCCCAAAAGTTTTGAATAATCGGGCGTGCGTTCGCGACGGCGCGCGCGTGTGGACTTCCTGTGATTTTTCTGCAGTGGATTCTTGTAAACTGATGATTGTTGATAAACGAGGGCGCGCGCATTCTTTCTGTTGCAAGGGACGTGGGGGGGCGGTGCCAGCCTGACCGGGATGGTCTGAGTGTGTATGGGGCGTTCCACAAAAGGGTTTGCCTGGGAGGATCGAACGGGTTGTCATCTCGCCTGCGGCGGAAAATCGGCGGCGGGCGGCGGAAATAGAACAAGGCCGCCCCTGGTGGCGGAAGCAGTCGGAAAAGAACGGCGGAACGTGCCGGAGGTTAAAGTGCGGCACGAAGAAAGGAAAATGGTTTTGGGTTCAGGGTTTCCGAGGTCAGCCGTATGGAGGATACGCGATTGGGCAGGATCAGGCGCGCTGATGATTGTATTTGTGCTGGCGACGACGATAACGACAACGACGGTAAAGCCAATGACGGCGACTATGTTGACCACGCCGATCGCGATTATGGTGTCCACGAGTCGGCGATGAAGTTGTTGGAAGCATTTCGGCATGCGCGCGCGGCCGCCGGGCGCAAGCGGGCTGCGCGGGTATTCTTTGACGAGAATGGCCCCCCCCCCCCCGTCGTGCGCGCAGTGGCGTTCGAATGATTCCGACACGCGCGCGCCAGGCCCGCTTGGTCGTGTTTGATGAGCGTCTTGGAGCCACGCATGGTTTTCGTAAGTATGCGCAACAGCGCGCACACAGATGTCTTATATGGTGGGCGAACAAGACATGCTAAACACGCCACGTGTCTTTTATCTGCTGCCCGGGCACATGATCTTGCAATCCCTACGGCATTTGGGTTTGTTTGATGGACTCATGCATATGCACTTCGCCCAATGTTCTGCAAAAGGGTCAGGGCGCCAACATCGCAAAGCGGATTTGTATTTGAGAAGCAAAGGGATGGGCCCGGATGGTCCTGGAGATTTCCGTTCCGGATTTCGAAGTGAATATCGTGCGGATGATGATTACCAGAAGTCCACGTGACATACACTTCGTTTTCCGCTTGCCGCTTCGGGGGTTTTGCGTGGACAGAAACCCATTCAAAAATCCGTCGCAGCACGTCTGCAGGTCGGTGCAATGAAAAGGGTTCTGGCAATGACTAATGTGTGATGAATTCGCGTGTGCGCATGGTGCTTTGTTCCTAGGATGCGGTGGTGTCGAGCCGGGCCTCGGTGGGACGGTCTGAGTTTACAGTTCATGTCGAATGAACGATGGGGCAAAATTGCACGCACATTGAGATATGAAAAGACGGACGGAAAAAACCTGGGGATGGTGGCGGTAGTCTAGTGCAATTCTTTTCTTAGAGAATGGAATCCATGTAGAGAAAATGATGTCAGACGCCGACGATGCGGCAACGGCCACAACATAGATGCCAAACGGCGAATCAGGCCCAGACGACGGGCGGCGACGAGGCGTCGACGGGACGGCGACGGCGACAGCATAGCCGCCAGACCGACATTCAGGGCCAGACGTCGGGCGGCGACGAGGCGTCGACGGGTCGGCGACGGCGACAACATAGCCGCCAGACTTACATGTAGGGCCAATTCCGTAGACCACAAGTGTGCAACCCTAACCGCAAGCACTGTTTCGTGAGTTTTGCTTTTCAATGTCTGTCGGGGTGGTACTCGTGTCACCCCCCCCCTCACCTCGTGGCTGCCCCTTCGCGAGTGTTGCTGTCGATCCCCTGAGGGGCGGTCCCGATTCTTCATGCTGCGTGAGCTGGCCCGGCCCGCGCGCGCTCGCTTGATTTGACCTATGCCAGACGCCGCGCGCGCGGCCGCGACGCCAACAAGCAGTCGGGGAGATCCTTGGAAAGTTCCCGGGTGCTTCCTGAGAACTTTTGGGGCGTAGGAGTAACAACATATCTGAAATTATTCTGGCATTCTTTTGCTTGAACTGGGGCATGTCGTAGCCTTCTTGGGCCTGTTCTTCGCCGCCTTGGGACCGAGAGCAGCGCCGATCGCAACATATAGGGATGCGGTCTTGTAGAGCGGCCTGCTTCGCAGGCGGTTGCATCATCAAACGTCCACAGAAACCCAACCACATAGCTCACAAACATTCTAACACACCCCAACGTGCCAAAGCCACGGTGGCGGACTACCCGGAGCACGAGGCCAAGGCCTGCTGCCGACAGCTCATGGAGGCCGTCTCCTTCATCCACGCCAACGGCATAATGCACAGGGATCTGAAGCCTGAAAACATCCTCTTGGCCAGCAAGGTGAGCAACACAGACATCAAGATCTCGGACTTTGGGCTGGCAAAGATCTCGCGCGACTTCCCGCGCAAGTTACCGAGGTCGCACTCCATTTGCGGATCGGATTTTTACTTGGCTCCCGAGGTGATCAAGCAGGAAGAATACGGCCGCGAGATCGACGTCTGGGCGGTGGGCGTGATTACCTACGTCTTGCTCAGCGGCTCGCTGCCGTTTTTCCACAACGTGCTCCACAAGCTCTACCGGCAGGTGGTCGAGCGGGACCTCTCGCATGCAACTCTTGGGAGGTCAAATCCTGATTTCGCCCTGGTCCGAAATCCGGCTTAATCCGGCTTAATCCCGCTTACTCCGGCTTGATCCCATTGAACCCTGCTCAAGCCATCTTAATCCCGCTCAATCCGAGCCCCACTCCGGCGTAACAGCTCCCAAATAGGGCTTCGTCCGCCTTAGTCTTTCCGACGAACGCCTCCCAGTAGCTACCTCCTATAAGGACCTCAGCTTCCCCGAGCAGGCGTGGAAGAACGTGTCCAAGGGCGCCTTGGACTTCATCCTCAGGCTGCTGCAGGTGCGCGCCGGGGACCGGCTCACGGCCGACCAGGCCCCGGGGCAACGACAGGGTGAAGTCGGGCCTGTCCCTCTTCCGGGGGGGATGCTCCAGACACTCCGAAAACAGTCCGGGGACGATGTTTTGATGAGTTGTTGCCCATTTGGGGGGTATGTTTTTGAGGTTTTTTGTTGGTTTTGTTCTTCTCTCCTTTATATATATATATATATAAAGAAAAAACACCTCAAATCCCCCTGTAGGGGGGCACGCCCGACTTAGCGACGCGCTCAGCGGGGGCGCGCGTCGACCCCCAAAGCGCCCACGCCATCGCCGACGGAGGCCTGCTGGACCCCGCTCCGCCGAGCAGCGTGCGGGCTCGAGCCTCGGGGGCCTGCGGCCCGCCCACTGGCGTGAGGTCGGACGTGTCCCTCGCTCCTCCTCCTCCTCCTCCTCCTCCTCCTCATCCTCCTCCTCCTCCTCCTCCTCCTCCTCTTCCTCCTCCTCCTCCTCCTCCTCCTCCTCGCTCCTCCTCCTCCTCCTCCTCCTCCTCCTCCTCCAAGAATAGTCAAAACATGCTCCAGGGACTGTGTTTTGAGTATTCTTGGGCGTCTCTGCCTGTGCTTTGAGTATGCTTGGTTGGGGATGCTTTTGGAGTGCTTTGCACTTCTCGTCCACAATCCCCCTGTAGAGGGACCGGCCCGACTTGACACTGGCGATGTACCTCAGGAGGAAAAGAAACACACAGACACAATGAATCCTCGATTCCCCAGACAAGATGGGAAACTATGGGAAGTGGGCGGGAAGACAGAAACCCAGGAAATATGGGAAGATATGGGGAGTATTTTTATTTGTGTGCATTTATTTGTGTGTCCTGGGGCCCCTTCAGCACCGCCCGTTCCGGATCGCTGCTCTCCGCCGGAGTTGCTGTCTCCCCCCCAAACTTCACTGTTCTGCAGATCTCCCGCCCCCGCGGGACCGGGGTATCTCGGCCTTGCCAGCCCACCCTCCGAGGTGGGGATGCGCCCCGCCGGAGCGGAAGGATCGGCTTTATATCTTCACCTGGGTGGGCCACTCGCCAGTGGGGCCAAGGCCAAGCCAGTGGGGACAGGGATGTCCTCGCCCGGCCCCCATTGGACTTTGCAGTCGGTTGAACTTCGAAAGTAATTTTTCTCGCCCAGCCTCCGACTTTTCGACGAAAAGTGAGGCCGCCCAGGGAGCTATTCGGACGCACGCCTATCGAGGATGGACGCCCCGCCATCGTATATCCCAGGGTTGGACCCAAACATTCCGGTCCGTCTGAAGACCCGACAGAGCCGCCGATAGGGGTCGACAGATCCCCTGGCAAATCGATGTTCATAGCTCGGCACGAACGAAATTGGGACGAAGAGAATGGGTACGAGGCCCAACAGCAGTTCCTTTTCATTTTGAGCAGCACTCGCTGTCCGCGCCGCGGCGGACGCTGCCCATGTGAGACAGACGGCCGCCTGCCCAACCGCGGCCGCTGTCGGTTTTGGACACCATGTGTTGTTGGGCATCGTTACCATTCCTTCCGTACCCATTTCGGGCGTCCAAAAGTGCCGTAATGGAGGATGACGATTAATAAATGACCGGGGGTCGTGTTCACGCGGCGGCGCCCGGGATGACGATTAGAAAAAACCGGCCGCGGGCTGGGACACTTTTTTGTTGTTGTATAATCGTTCTCCTCCAGTCAGAAACTTGTGCAGAAATAGCAGGAAACTTTTTTTTAATCGTTCCACCCCATTTTGTGTATTAATCGTCACCCCGCATTAACCCTCACAGGCACTCAGCCACCCGTGGCTCCGCGGGACTGGCGGGTCCAGCTTCACCAGCTTCGAGAGCGGCGCGCCCTCGCGGCGCTCGGGGGGCGCCGCCGGGCCGCACCCTGGCGGCTGCGGCGCCCCGCAGCCCAGCGTGCTCACCTCGGGCTCACTCTCGCGCGAAAGCTCGGACGCCAAAGGAGGAAAAGTCGACTACACCTAAAAGTGACCCTTCGCCAGAGTGACCTCTCTGGGTGCGGAATCATCGGGGTCCTCCAGATCGTGGAGCGCGATGCGATGGCGGCTGCTTGCGCGCTTGGACTGGGCCACCTTGCACCCCCTTGGTCCGCGTACCAAGGCTCACTCTTGCCTAGGGTCACTCCTTGCGTGTAGCCGAAACAGGCACCACCGTCGTCGCCCTGGCCTCTCTCTCGCTCCTTGGGCCCCCCCCCCTGGGAGGCCCTCGTCGCCACGGCTGGCTGCACCTCGGAATGGAAGATGAGGAGGAGGAGGAGGAGGAGGAGGAGGAGGAGGAGGAGGAGGAGGAGGAGGGAGGAGCAGGAGAAGGGCAGCGGTATCGGCACCTTCGTGCTTACCCAGGACGTGTCGTTGCAAGCCAGGCGACACGGCGCCGCAGTGCACCCACTGGAGCACGCGCACATGGTCGCCAGGATCAAGGCTCGGGGGCGGCCAAGAGTGATGGGCCTGTTTTACACCACCACAACCATTAGTTGAAGGGGGGAAGGAGGTGGAGGATGAGGAGGAGGAGGAGGAGGAGGAGGAGGAGGAGGAAGGAGAGGAGGAGGAGGAGGAGGAGGACCCCCTCCCCCTCCTACTTGTGGTGGTGGCGGTGGAAAACAAGCCCACCCAAGAGGGGTGGCATGACCAGGGGGCGGTGGAGGTCATTGCTGGGGGCAGCGCTGCCGCCCCGGATGTCGTGGCCCCTTCTTCGTTTTCTTCTCCTTCTTGTTTGTTGTTTTTCTTATTTTTCTTTCTTCTTCTTCTTCTTCTCATTCTTCTTCTCATTCTTCTTCTCTGTCCCCTGCCCCCCCCTCCCTCGTCTGCGCACATGCCTCGGGCCGTGGCCTGCGACCCCCCTCTGGGACGCGCCCCTCCCCCCGAGAGGCCACGACGGCCCCCCCGCCGAACCCGCGCGGCCCGGAGGCCGCGCCGGGGCGGTACGGCCCGCCGCCGGGCAGCGTGGCGCCCCACTTCTGAGCGGCCGCGCGCGCGGGTGCCGTTCTGCGCCAGGCGCCGGCGCGCCGCCTCCTCCTTTCCCCTCCCCCCCCTCCTCCTCCTCCTCTTCCTCCTCTCCTCCTCCTCCCCCTCCTCATCCTTCTCGTCCTTCTCCTCCTCCTCCTCCTCCTCCTCCTTTCTCCTCCCCTTCCTCCTCATCCCCCTCCTCCTCCTCCTCCCCCTCCCCC